CGAGTGGCTCACCGCTGGAATAGTCGAATAGACATAGGATATGCGTAAGATATGAGATCACTGCACTATATAGCCGTAATACGTTTTTAGCTATAGTAGACTTATTATATGTAGTATAGCGTTATATAATAATAATAAACGTACTTGTATGCTGACAGTACTAAAAACTGAAATAATATTGGTAAATACTTCGTATGTAATGCAAGCTAGATACTATGTAGATACGTTTCAGCTAACGAAATTAACGCCATACGGACTCGACATCGCGCACGAATCACATACAGCACACAGCAGGACACAGCAACCACCACACACACACACACACACACACACCACACCACCACATAACACACACCCAACACACAACAGCCCACACACACACACACACCCACAAAAGGGTTTATATTGACGTCAACACATATACACACCAATGCAGCTCACACACAAGCAGTCAGTACTGAGTGCCTTGGACCAGACACAACACCCCCAAATCAACACATATTTATTTATTTGTTTGTAATATTTATTTCAGGAATAGGATCCGCGTGTCCGCTTGGAACCAACGTCACGCATGATATGTCGAATCAAACTTCAAAAGCCGCGCATGCGTCCCGCGTAATAAGTTGACGAGGCATCTCTCGTTAGAAAGGGAACATAAGTCTCCCAAGCGCGCTACGGCAACCACGTAACCGTAGTATCCTGTATGTAGCTCGTGTCGAACAATCCGGCCGGACCTCGTCCCGGGGTTCTCGTCCTTCACTCGGTAAAGTGCACCACAATGCTGGAGTTTTCGCCCGCACGTCGGATAATTTGTTACCCGATCTATGTTATATGTATCCTGGTATTAAAGATAGTACGGTTTATTTTCCTCGAGTAGAGGACGGAGGAAAAAGGAAAACCGTTAGAGAGAGGTTTCCGTAGAGAGAGAAGAGAGCAGAGAGGATGAAGAAGAAGGGAGAGAGAGAGGCGATAGATGAGAGAAGGAAGAGGAAGGAGGATGAGAGGAGAGAGGGAGAGAGAAGAGAGAGATGAGTAGAAGCGAGCGAGAGAGACAGAGAGCGAGAGGAGAGAGAGAAGAGTGAAGGAAGAGAGAGAGAGAGGGGAGAGGATACGGAAGAGCAGATAATAATATCGAGTATGGTGATATGCGTTAAGGAGGTCCATCTCTACTTAACCCGCAGGCTGGATGCGGATGACGGTTGTGCATTACGTCCGTCCATACGTGTGTGCGTGCGTGCGTTGAGTTTAGTGTCTCTGCTGTGCATGTGTGTTTGCGCGTGGCGTGATGTGCGAAATGACGTAGCGTTCGCGTCCGGCGTTGAAACGTGTGTCTTATGTTTATTTATTTGCAGAGAACGTGCATGTGCGTGTGTTTATCATGTGCATTGAGTGTAGTGCATGCCTGCACATGATGTAAGTGTCGAATGCATGGTGGCGTCAGCTGCGTCCTTACCGTGTGTGCCGTGCCGTGCGTCGCGCGGCGTGCTGTGTGTTTGTGCGCGTGTGAGAGATTCTCTCCGTAACCGCCCCGAGTTGGTTTTATACGCAGGGTTATGCTCTCTTCAAAAAGCAACTAAACACAAGCGGATGGACAGGGTACATATTTGATGAATGGCACCGGTGACGGAGCTGAGACACAATATATAAGAGAAGTGAAGCACGGATTGGTTATTACGCGTGATCACGCAGCCCGTTGCCATCCGACGCCATGTCTCACACGCGTAGAAAACACGTCACAGTTCCTTCGCTGTATATATATTGCTCAGGCCGGCATGGTAGAGTACCTGCCGGGCGAATACCGGGCCGCGAGGTGCTCCAGACGCGCCCATGGTGCCTAGCAACCGCTCTTGCTCCCAGGACCGTGTTTCAAAATGGCGATGCCATTAAGCGTCGCGTTGCCAGCATCCCGTAAACCCCGCAGACTATTACTGTGAATACGCGAGCTCTTTCAATCTCGCCGCAGCTCGGGTATATTTCAACAGAGTCGCCAATTCGAAATGGGATAGATCTTTGCATCGGGCTATCGCATAATCGACAATGTTCGTATAAATCAGACGGTCCTTATGTTCAAGTTTCCATCTCCTTTTAACCCTCTTGTAAAAGAATAGCTTCTTGCAGCCGCTTCGAAATTGTCGAATAAATGCTGTCATGTTAGGCAGCAAAACTGGCGTGAATAAAGACGAGCATTCTCCGTCACTCCCTCCCCAGCAAAAACGCACTAGCTCCCATTGATCTGCTATCCGGTAAACGAAGGATCCCAGTAAATTCTTGACGTCTGCATATACGAGCCAGTCACAAGAGCGCTAAAACACCCAGCGATACAAACATTATGGCGGCCCCAAAAACGCCGTTTTGTGCTGTTAGGCTAATTATGTGCTATATAGCTACGTGCTACTTTGCTCGCCATGCGGGAAACTAAATCGCTCCTTTGTCGACTGGTATCTGGTGACTGCCCATCGTTAGGCTGGAGTTTAATATCGACAAGTCGGCTCGACTTACGATATACACACGCCAGCACACTACACCGCGCGCGCGCGCGCGCACGGATGCCTAGCTGTACGTGTTATATGGTGTACTACATGCCTCTTTCTTGCGTCCTTTTTCTACGAACTGCGAGTCTTCGAGTTGGCTCCGATTGAACTTTATGGCGCAAGGTGACGGGAACAATATAGTGCGTTAGCGCCGCAGTGAATTATCGTAGAAAGAAGCAGCCGCTCCTTCCTAGAT